TATATATATATATATATATATTTGTATTTTTTGGTGAAAAAAAAAATAAAATAAAAAATGAATCATTTTTTTTAGAATTTATTGGTGCTGCATTTGGTCTTGTGACTTTTGAAGTTTCCTCGAAGCATTTGGACTACTAGTGGTCGACGACTTTAAATGCCTATTTTAAGTTCATTTGGACTACTACTAGTGGACCAAGACTTTAAACGCCTTTTTAAATTTCATTGAACCAGCCCTCTTCTAATTTAGGGACCACTCGATATAATTTGATGTCTTAAAAGGGGAAATTTTAAAAAGTAGCTTTCACCAATAAAATCAACAATTTTTAGTTAAAAATTATCTTTCTTCTCTTTTGAGATACGCAGTTACTAATTAATAATTTTTGCAATCGAGTTAACTGTTGAATTTTTTACAATAAATTAAATCGCTAGTCTTTTTTTTTTTTTTTTTTTTTTTTGTGATTTAGTTGATCTTATGTACAATTTTATCATTTTTAATTTTTTTTAACTTTTTTTGCAGCGATAGCTTACATGTATTGTTTAAAATATACGGTGTTTTGTAACTAATGCATGCATTGAAATAGAATCTCGTCAATTTATGTAATTTAATGTTTCAATTAGAGTATTTGTTTCTATTTGTAATTTTTTTTTTTACTTTTAATAGTGAAAATAAATTTAAATCATTAATATAATAAGACACATAATGGTTTCGAAAGAGTTTCAAATTAAAACAGTATTTTCTCAAATTATCGTCATCTAATTATCTAAACTTCTAAAAATTAAGCAAAAAAAAAAAGAAAATTATTTTCATATTGTTTGAATTATTCGAACCTACTATATATGAATTGATTGTTTTGGTCGCATACATAAGAAATAATTAATTCCGAAAAATTCTTTAGCTGATTGAATACAGGTTCTAATCCCATTTCATTAGGTGAAATAATAGCTAATGCAATTTCATTTTCTCTATATCTTGTAAGGTTGATTTTAAATTTTTTTTTTAATTGGCAAAAAACACTCACACTTGAAAATATATTTTTGCCCACTTCATTAGATGAAATAATAGCTGATTTAAATCCATTTTCTCTAAGGATGATTTATTTATTTAGCTAATGTAAATCCATTTTCTCTACTGTAAAAGGAAAAAAATAATCAGGAGAGATTACCATATATTGAGAGAGAAAGAAAGAAGGGAAAATATTGGAGTTATAAAAGAAAAAGGTAATAAAAACTAAAATTGTTTAACTGATTAACAGAGAATCGTGGTTAACGAATGCTAAAATTCTTCAACTCTTCATTTTTTCTGGTCTCTTATGCTTGAAATTAGTGGGTTCTTCATTGTTACAAACCGTCTCCCACTCTTTCCTCTCTCTAGCTTTATGTTCATTGAGAGGAAATTAAACATCAAAAAAGAATTAGAATAGAGGAAAGATAATGAAACGTGAAGAGATTGAAGAATCTAATTGCATGAAAAAAAAAAAAAAAGGAAGAAAAAAAAAGAAAGAAACCAAGAATACTGATAGAGAGAGGTGGGTGGTTGGAAACCTAAAGTTGTCTACTGACATGTTAGTTTTTCTTCCTCAAAACATTATCGTTTCAAGCCTTTTTTATTATTAAATTATGTGGAGCATTGTTAGTTATAGATTTAGGTAAAATGACACGTGTTAAAATCATAACAATTCAACTTAAGATAATGTAGAGAGATTTTAACTTAGAGGATCTTAGTCCACCAACTATTCATTTGTTTGGTATGTAATTTAAAGTTGAAATGAAAATCCATTCCTAGGAATCAAAATTCATTCCACAACTAAACCTAATGGCCATTTCATTCCTAAGTAATTTCTTTTAAAAAAAAATCAACTTCCTAAAAAACCCTCATGTTCCAAGTCCAAACACCACCACTACCTTCCACAACAACCACCTTCGCCTTTCACCACTACCACCACCACCGATTTCCGCCACCATCACTGTCTTTAACCACTAATACTGCCTTCATTTGTCGCAGCCACCACCACTACCTTCCGCGCACCGCCTTTCACCATAGCCACTTCTTCCCACTACTACCACATTTCACCACCGCCATTGTCTTTCTCTACTGCCACCCGCCTTTCTCCACTATTACCACCTTCCATCACCACCACCTTTCATCATCACCACCACCACCACCGCGACCTCCTTTCACCAACACCATTGCCAATGCTTTCCGCCACCGCCTTCCAACGCCTCTGTCTTCCACCACCACCACCAACGCCACCGCAGTCGACCATAGCCACCACCATCTTCCATTATACCACCATTTTCACTGCCTTCCACCACCACTGTCACCGTTTTCCACCACCTTTCACCACTGCCAACTCCATTGTCTTCCATCACCACCACAGTCACCTCCATTGGCTTCTTCACCACCATCTATACCACTGTCTCTTTTCACCACCACCACTACATTACTGCCACCACCTTCTACCAACACCGTCGCTGCCTTCCACCACCGCCTTATTCTAACACCATTATCACTTTCCACCTCCACCACCATCGTCACCACCATCCACCATTGCCACGGACACCATTTATTTTAAAAAAAATTATAGAAGAATATCATTTTGTTAATTTAATTTATTTGTTACTAAGAGGATATTTAGGATAACTCAATTTGAAATTTATTCCATTCTAAACGTTAAATTGATCCAACCAAACACTAGAATGATTATTATCATTCCATTCCTATACATTTCATATTTACAACCAAACAATAGAGTGGGAATGACCATTCCATTCCATTCCCACTTACATTCTATTTTATTCCCGCACGCCAAGGTATATGAATAATTTTGTCAATTTTTAAATCGCCACTAAATTTGGCTTTATGATCTCTTCACATCATCACTGACTATGAGACATTCTTGCCATAATCCTTCTCTAAACCATCTCAAACCACCATTTCTACCTTTAAAGATCCCAAACCATAACCTATCTTCTTCCATATCCATTCTCAAGTGATCCCCAACACTTAACTAGATCCATACATCCAAACCACAAAGCAATACTCTCAAAGTAATCCCTCCTAAACCAGCAATATTTACACCCAGAGTCACACCTACTTCCAAAGCCACCCCCACCTAGGAAGAACCCACCACGAGCTATCACCCAACCTTCTTCACCAGTTAAACCACAATCAAAGATTAAATCAAAGCAGCTAATTGATCCAGAGAAGGTTTTAGATGGCATTGACATCAACAACACGCAACAAATAATTAATAAGATTAATTTACAACCTTCGAGTCCTTTTGTTGATTACCAGAATGACACCAAATATGCATCATTGCTTGACCAGTTTGAGTGGTTACGAGACCTTATTAGTGTCTCTAACACAAGGAATGTCAATCTCTCCAAAGAAAATGCCGAGCTAATAGATGAATTGTTTGCATTTCTGGGTGTCAAACTATGCTTCCATCCAACTCAATGCATATCTGTTACCACCAGCATCAACCCTCACGTCCAATTCAAAATTCAAATCATGACCCACTAGACAATGCAACTGAGGAATACGCAGGTTATTGAGGACCATTCTCACCAAAAAGGTAACTTTACAAAAACATATGTTAATTCAAACAAAAGTTTGCTCATACCTCTCACTCTCCAGGCACCTCACTCTGACATTGTTGAAGACCATGCACCACTTACCACATCACTTGTTAAGCCTGGTACTAGTCCTTTCCAATAAAAGTTGCCTTGGACTATGACTGTAATGTCCCAAATTTTTCCCACTTTTTTTTTTTGAATTATTATTTTTGTGCATTGTTTTACGTGCCACGGTGGCCCCGAGGGCCATTTAAGTCATTTTCTTGAGTCAAGAGTGACTTCGGGTTCGGGAACTTCTTCCCGTTTTTTCACTTTAAGTGAAGGGCGTTGTTGACTTTTCACATACATATACATATAGCCATACATTGAGGTAGATATTTTGGAGATTTAGTTGGCAATGTAATAGAAAAGTGAGAGCAATGTGGTAACCTTGCTTAAAGTTAGTAAGTCACAAATTGTTGACACTTGGCATGATGGGACCATGGAGGCAATTGCAAGACAATTACCAAACCCCCCTTTTCCTCTTCATTTTGGCATTACGTCTTCTCTCTCTTTCTCTTTTCTTTCTCTTTCTATATCTATATACATTATATGTCTTTTATGTTCAAATCAAAAATTGGAAAGGTTAGGATGAGATTTTGCTTAAGCCATAAAAGGAGAAGTTGTTCTACTTGGCAAAAGGTTTCATTTGACACCACTCTTACATGGGTTTTGTGATACCCTTCGATTCTGGAAGACGGGTTGATCCGGTCCGCACACACTACCGACGTATATCAAACAATTAATAATAAATAAACACGAAATACAAAAGGATAATAAATAAATAAAGCTGAAAAGACAACTAAATAATAATTAATGAAATCCTCCAAGAATAAAATTCAATAAATAATAACCATCTATGATACCAATAATCCTCCAAATTACAACTCAGAAATCCATACCATGTGGACCTCTAATAAAATCCCAACTAAAAATAATAATCAAAACAACTGTTTAAAATGAAAACTGAAAATATAAAGTAGAATTCTACGTAGATAACCTGAAGAGTGATAAAGACTGATCTCTATTCTGCACGAACAATCTCTACACTTGACGAACACCTAAAAAATAATAGTGAGTTAGGCTCACGAACAAGTTATTTTCTACTATATCCCAAACAGAGATCCGATACATAAATCCATCCTAGTTAACTCACATAATAGCGACGTAGTCCATAGGTATACATAGATACATATTAAAAGACTCTCACTGGACTATACAGCCTCAACTAGATAGTATGTAACATGCATAGTGGGCATGAGTACCATGATCTACCAGGGCACACAACTATCCACTATATCCATATATGCATCCTAAGACAATCTACGCTCCCTAACGAGATCTCAAGCTCATATTGTGGCATATAGAAGTTTGATTGGCAGTATGTTATACCTCACCAACACTCGGCCTGATATTATGTTTGCAACAAACCTGTTATCAAGATTCATGTCAAGTCCAAACAAGATTCACTTGGAAGCAGCAAAGTTGGTGTTACAATACCTAAGGGGAACTTCCTCGTATGGTATTTGTTATACCTACACTAACAAATTTGAGTTACATGATTTTTCTGACAGTGATTGGGCAAGTTCAATTGAAGACCGGAGGAGCACCTCTGGCTATATTTTTAACCTTGGTGCAGGCGCAGTTTCCTGGTGTTCAAAGAAGAAACAATCAACCACTCTCTCTTCATCAGAGGCAGAATATATAACAGTTACTACAACGGCATGCCAAGCTGTTTGACTACGAAGGATTTCGGGAGACATGAAGCAATTAAAAGATGGAGCAACTACACTTTATTGTGACAATCAATCTACCATCGTAATGACGAAGAATCCTGTTCATCATGGAGGCACAAAGCCTATAGTGTACTTGCAGACATATTCACAAAGCCATTACCATTGGCGGATTTTGTTTATTTAAGAGAAAAATTAGGAGTTGAGTATTTCTGCATTAAGGGGGAGAGTGCTGAGAATAATGCAAAAATACGTGTTTAGTACGTGGGTATGTGAGAAGTTCCATTATTTGGGTTAAGAATGGAAGTTATTGTTGTTCATGTTAACGTATATGTGTTTCGTGAATGTTGGTTGGTTATATTAATCGTGGTTGGTATGTGATTAATCGTGGCTATCGTTTTGTTTGTGGGATCCAGATCTTCTCCAATTTCTCTCACCCATCACTATTAAATAACCATTATAACACACTACCAACATTATAATGCAAGGCCCTACATCACATATACAACACTTGTATAACAACAATGTCAAAACCATTAAAGCGAGAAATCAACACCTTTTATGTAGTTATTAAGTTTTCAATTTCAAGTAATTGCATTAACGATTTAAAATTATTACGGAATCGATTTATACGCACATAATAATGACGTGGGACAAAAAAAGAACAAAGAGAGGATCCTGATCCTTTTTTTGTGAGGTTCTTCAAACCCTGGTTATATAGTTCTTATATATTTCTTTTCAATAAAGTTTTATTTACCGAGAATATATATATGTATATATGGCAATCATCTACAATTTTGAATACATTCTTTGACAAAATGGAAACTATAAACATTCACACAGGATAATGAATGAATGATTTTGTCCTTGTAGTGTTGGGACACCGATTCAACAGTTTTTCTATGGGACTACAAGATGCAGTGTTGGGACACCTATTGAATTTCGCAACAAAAACCAAAGTGTTGTCACCAGCATTAATTGTTGGCCCAATTTCGACTAAAATAAATCTTTTCCAGTCAAAACAAATTTGTCAAAATTCTTTTGAAAACTATGTCGGTCAGTTTAACCTTTGGACGGTTCAAACAGTCTATAATCATCCACAAGCTAGTGATCCTACAGCTCACAAATTTGGAGGGTAACTAGCTTGGTCATAAACTTAAAATAGAAGCTAATTTTTCTGGCCTTTCTCGATTTATGAAAGTGCATGTTCTTGTGGCCAAGGATGCTCAGGAATTCAAACTCTCTTCAAGTAGCTAGCGCAATGTTCATCGATGCTGCATTACGTCTTTTAACAGTATATTAAGGAATAAATGTGCATGTGCGAGTATGCACGTGTTAGAGTCTCCTTTGGTTTTTTTTTTTTTTTTTTCTAGTGTAATCTCTAGCTCATCGTTATGTGGCAGGAATTGCTTAATGTGGTTCCATACATATACGTAGATAGAGAAAGAGAATGATATATGTTTTGTGTGTGATGTATCATGCGATTATCTGTTCAATAAATAAAATATAGCCATTGAGTGGTGATTGTTGCTACAACAGTTATTACTATGCAAATATATCTTCTCTTGGGATGCATTTCTTTAATATTGACAATACGTTCGGTACTGTTTATATAAATATATATATATATTAAAGTTAAAAGATTTTTTTTTCAAAAGTTGGTGGGCCCCACCAATAAATTAAAACATGATAAAAGCCATAAGGCTATTTCTCAGACTCGTGGGTTTTCTATCTCTCTGCTGCATCACTGCACTCGGCAGTTTTCTTTCTTTTTTTTCTTTTTCTTTTTTTTTCTATTTTTGCAATTGCAAGCTTAATCTAGCTCTATCCCTTTGAAATTTGGTAGAACCTTGTGAAGCAAAGTCGGAGAGCTCGTCGAGGCCTTCAATTTGATAGGAGCCAATCATCATTTGGTGCACTCTAGGGAGTTCGAAATTCTAGGGTTCTTGGGCTCAAAATTGGGGGTTTTGCATCTAAGTGAGGTAGGGGTGTTCTAATGCATGAATTCTTGTATTTTTATAAGTTTCTAGCTTAAAGTGATGCCTAACATGTTCAATTAGTGCTAATTCTTGCAAAGATTTGTTTAGAATAATAAGCATGGAATGTATGTGACTATTTGTTAATTGTTTTGAGGTGATTTAGCATGCTTACATATTTGTATGAAATTGAGTTTATATTTTACATGCTAGTTATGCAAAGTTAATATTAAATGAGAGCTCGATCATGTATTTTATAAATTTGTCTTGTATAGTATGTGTGAAAGTTATATGGTTGGGTTGATAAATTAAAGCACAAGCATTTATGCATTCATTGGGAAAGAGAATGGGGAAAAAAATATTTTTAGAACAAACGAAATTATTTTGGGAAAAATATTTTCTAAAAATGTGGCGAAAACCGGACGCCTATGAGGCGCCTAGTGGTCCGTGATGTTAGTGTAGTCTAGAAAGGAATGTAGTTGAGTTAACTAGGCCGGATGTGACGCCTTGGAAGTGTCTTGTGGTCGTGAATAGTTAACCAACCTTCCTTTCGTGATGCCTTGGAGGTGCCTTGGGTCGGATTACATTAATAGTTTGGTTGTTGAAACGGAATTGTTTAGGAAATGGAGAGTGGCATAGGCATGACATTGCACTTCATGGTACATGTGGGAAATTTGTGATTGGATGTTATTTATACTATGCTTGTCGTTGTGATTGAGATTATGTTTTCCCCATGGTATAACCCTGTCCCTTTTTATCCATTCTTTATGTAGGATTCACGGGGATATAAGAAGTGTGTCTTAGACACTTCGTACTGAGCTTATGCTCACCCCATTATTTTCTAACATTTTTCAGAACACGAAAAAGAGGTGGCGGACGACAATCCACCACTGGTTTAAACTAGCTTGGAGATTTATTTTATTTTGCTATATTTTACTATCTTTTGTATTAGAACTTTAATATATATTTTGTAAATGTAATCTTAAATATTTTGTGAAACTTTAGTTTAGTTGATATAATGTTGTAAGCTATGGACTTTAAAATTTTAGCTATAATTATGGACTGTAACTTGAAGTAACGGATGTGTCCCTTGTTTGGATGAAATGGAGGAATGAGACTTTTGTATGTATGTAACCATTTTGGGAATGTAGTATAATATCTGAATTGTGCGTTAGGACAGAATAAGTTAGATTTAAGGCCTAGTGAGGCCATTGCATTTATTTTTGTATTTCAACAGGTTGTTGAGGGACATTTTATGCGGAGGTCATGCCGAAATTTTTATAAATTTTTATTATTATTTTGATATCTTTTCGGGTCGTTACAAATTTGGTATCAGAGCGATGGTTCGAATACCATTAAGACGACGGGTAGAGGCCTACCTAGGATTGTATGGGGAGTTGAGTTATTTGCTTACTTGCTTAATTGCTTACGTGATTGTATGCTTATATGCTTATGTGTTAAGGTGCTTAATTATTTGAAAGGCACGCTTAATTGTTTAATTGCTTAGATGAGTACGTGTTAAGTGCTTAGTATTGTTGCATATTATTAGCATGATCATGTTTCTCATTAGTTGGGTATTCTGGGAGCAAGGAAGGTGTTTATGTGTTTCCATTTTTGTCAAGTCATTCATGTGAGGATTCCGTTCTCGTGCGTATTTTAGTGTCATCGTTATTGATCCGTTTCCTTTTCCGTATAGCGTCATGCCACCACGAAGGGATCCCGGGGAAAGTTCTAGCTCCAATGCCGTGGAAAGGGATCAGGAGCAAGTTGAGGAAGATATCTTATTGCGTGATTTGGTCCTACCAAGAGAGGGACAAGCGAGGGGGACCGTTGACCCACTTTTTCAGATAAATAGGGAGCAGTTGAGGTTAGCCGTTCAAGCAGCTATTTTTGATGCATATCGACCAACAGGTGCGTCATCGTCACAGTTTGTGCCACCACTGGCACCACCACCACCACCTCCAAAGAAAAATGAGTTAGATGATACTTTTTACCACATTGTTAAGTTTGTGAAGTTGATGCCAACTCTTTTTTAGGGCGGTCCAGATCTGCTTGTTGCGGATAGTTTCATGGATAGGGTGGAGAAGCATATTAATGCCATGAATTTGGCAACGAACAAGTTGAAGATTACATTGGCTACTTACAATTTTGTGGGCGATGCTGAGATTTGGTGGAAAACCATTTCTCACACCCATAATCTGGATATTATGACATATGATACTTTCAAGAAGTTGTACTATGAGAAGTACTTTCCGACGCCTAAGCAGAGGGAACTAAAGAAAGAGTTTGATGGGTTGAAGCAAGGAAGCATGGCAGTTACAAAGTATGAGAATAAGTTACATCGCTTTTGAGGTTTGCACGAGGGATTGCTAATGATGAGAAAGGAAAGATAGAGAAATTTGTTGATGGTCTTAATCGCATCATCAGGCCAATTGTAACTACCTCAGAACCGACAAAGTACGCAAAAGTAGTGAGAAAAGCCTTAGTAGTTGAGGCTAAAAGCAGGGACAGTAAGGCTATCAGGGAATCCTACAAGCATAACAGGGGTTTGAGTACTTTTTCCGAGGGTCAATCAAGTGTGATACCCCCAAATTTCCGGATGCATGTTGGCCAAGCCCACGCCCGATTACCAAACGATATCAAACAAATTAGTAATAAACAAACACAGAATACAGATAAGATAAACAAGAATAAATAAAACTGCTAAAAAGAAACTAGAATGATAATCCAAAACTGAAAACCTCAAAATAATATTTTATAAATAAAGTATTAATCTGATACATCCAACTTTTTCAATTCCAATACAACTCGGAAATCCATCTGGTGGACCCCTAATCAAAACCAACACTGGAAAGCCAACAATTGAAAAGAAGTCCACTGCTAAACCATGAAGAAACCTCCTACGTCGTCGGTAGAATGAGTAGTCGTCTCTGCTTAGCACGAACAAGCTCTAAAACCTGGAACCCTCCGTTACCTGAAAATAATAGTGGGTCAGGCCCACGAACAAGTTCTATTCTAACTACAATCCGAA